TTCCTGTGGCACTTTTATTGGCTTCAAGTCTTCAGAGCTCAGACAGAACTCTTTAAAACATGATACTCCAGTCAAAGTTTTCATTAAATAAAACCACTACTGGAAACTGGTCTTATTGAATTTATGCAAAGAAATGTATTGCCATGACTTATTAAGCATTGCCAAATTTCAGAGGAATTATATAAGGAGAAAAACATACTGATCTGCTCTAAGATCTTCTGATTTTTCTTGTTACTGCTCTTTTATCATTTTCCCTAAGTACTTTGGCATAACTATTTACCCTCTGTTTAGGGAGGCAGAATGTAAATTATTTACTCTTTCTGACTTACTGGCCTGTATCATTTGATTAATTTTCTTTTAACATTTCTCTTCTCCTTCTTATCACATATACAACCTTTTTTAAATTTCATGCTTTCAAATTAGCCTTTAAACCTTCTTTCTATGTCCTTAAAAAATGCATAACCATGCCTTAGGCCTTCTATTCCAAACAGGCTTTTCCCAGTTTTCTACAGTTGAGGTTTTGTGTCACCTCTGACATGGGCATGGTCAAACAGGCCCAAAAGATAGTATACAGGCTGCCAACTGTCAACTGTCTCTCGATAGAGACTAAAACCTGATGGGTATTCTCCTTTGCCCAGTTGGGCACCTGCCCTCTTGGCAGCTAGACACCCTTTACTTTTGGAGTTCACCCCACATAGTCCCCTTCCAGGACAGCTAACACATAGCTATAGCAATGTTCCTCAGTGTGGGAGACTGGATATTTGCCAGTTACAGCTGCATTTAAACCTGTAAGAGAATTGAAGGTTAATACAACACATTAATACAATGAAACATAATAACATAATATTGGCATCATGGCCTCTTCAGGCAGTCAAATCCTCTGCTACTAAACATGAGATATGGCAGGGCTATACAAACGTTTTAGGGAGGTGACTAAAGTCCATACTTTGACCTTTCTATATAAGGTAAAATTGTCCTTGTCTTTCTGAAGCCATGTTTATGAAGATGCAGGCATCATCTGAGTCTATTATGCAATTTTCTGCAGGAATAGTCCTTTTCAAGTTGGGGTGAGTCCTGGGGTTGTGAACTTCTTTACCCATACCGAGTCCCCAGGCTGGAAAGGATGTACAGAGTCCGAGGTGGCACTGGCAGGGCATCTCGAACAAGCTTATGGATGGCTTGCAATTTCTGTAAGAGATCACATCCAAGTAAGGGGTACAGGCATGCTGGCATGACTAGAAACGAATGAGTTACCGTGTTCTTTCTGAGGTCCACAGTCCTCTTTGATGTCCAAGGAAAAAGGCAGTTTGTCCGGTGGCTCTTAGAACTGGTGTCTTCTTAGATGTTACTGGTCCCATTGGCTCTGTCAAGACTGAATAGGCTGCTCCAGAATCACCAGAAAATTATCCAGAGGTTTTATTTATCTACAAATAATTACACCTAAGTAGACATATAAACATCAAATAAACATCCATATTTACACCTTTTCAGTGAACAAGTACTTTTACAGTCTTGGGAATTTTGGCAGATAACAGGAACACTGCCCAAGTCCCCTGATGGGGGCCTGACAAGAACAGATGTGGGGGCCTTTGGCTGGGGGGTACAAAGTCTCCATTCTTTCTCTCTCGGCACTGCTAAGGACAGGATCATTGGAGAGGTCTCTTCACCTAGGCAAGGCTGTGCTGAGTCATCTGGGGAGAAAGTGGTTTCTGCTCAGTTTCCCTATTTTACTTGTCCCAGCTTACTGGTCTATTATGCATTCTATTTTCTTAAAATGTATTCTGGCACAGGAGAAGGTTGTTTGCTGCACAGAGGCAGCTAACCTCTACACAACTGGGCTCGGACATCTGCCCAGCAAACTGCAGCCTATAAGTTCAATATGCAGCCTCCGGTTTTTCTAACCCAACAAGGTTTCGGCCAGTCTGAGTCAGACTCCTCCTCCTCTTTTCTAGCGGGAGTTCAGTTGTTGTTTTATTTTATTCTTAGAAACCTTAATCCTTTAATGATTACCAAAGGTGAACATTCGGCAATTTTAGATTAATATTTATGAACATATTTTAAATGTACTTTTACTCTTAAGATATATCTAGACCTTTTGTGATAAAACTAAGAACAGGTATCGGTCTGATTCAGCATTGGAGGGGTTAAAAGAATAAACCAGGGCAGAGAAAGACTGTGCTTACAGTTACTTTTTGTAACCTTGAAGTTCATTGATAAGACCTGTTAGGTTTGCAGCCAGCAGCATAACTGCCAACCCCCCCACTTCTCTCAGCCCAGGCTGCTTTTCCTCACAGATTTTTTTTTTTCTTTTTTTTTTTTTTTTTTTTACTCTTTTATAAGCAATCTCAGAACTAAGCAATCTTGGAATTACAGTGATTTACAACCCAGGTAAGAGCAAAGAGCAACTGATAGACAGAAATTTATATTAACTAAGTGGGCTGATTCCTTCTGTAGTGGCGAGCAAAAGACTCTGAGAACTGCTAGAGATTCTTGCAGCCCACCGCGGGTCCAGTCCAAACGTTCAGCCAGATGAATTAACAGAAATGCAAAATAAATCAAAGTAATTTTCACTTTACACAGACTAGTAATGAGCAGCCAAAATAGATAAACACTCGTATTCACGCTCTCAGTAGACTAGCCCAGACTGAAGCTGAGCAGATAAACAAAACAATGCCCAACTCCCCAGACGGGCGTGGGGGCACTCCTGGCACCCATGTTCCAGAACAGAATTCTTGACCAACGTTTTGGTGAGAACCTACCGGAGGAGTTAAGACTGCATCCAGTCCCCCCTTTTGGTAGCAAATTGGCTAGTTCCACACAAACAAACAGCTGTTCACTCATGCTTCCTCAGTGTTTTAGCATTCACTTTAATTTTACAATCTCTATTGTATTCCTTTAAAAAATTTTTCAACATGTAATTAAGAACAGCAGGTTTACTTTGTCCCGACCTCATGATGATCGGTGACGAGAGACAGACAAGGGAGGGGTGACCTGTTTTCACAGATTTTCACTCAGGTACCCGCCTGACCAAAGTTGTGGAGCCACACAAAGGAGAGGAGAGGGCAGGCCCCCTCCCTCCACACTCGCACACTTTCACCAGACATTCATTCAGCAAAGGCATTTAGCCACCACAACACACAGTTTTTCTCAATCAGTAACATTTTTAAGAATAACCTTCAAAAATGCAAGACATAAGTTTTTTATCATTTGAATTCAGTAAGCTTCAAGGTCCCAAGTTCTCAGCAGTCCTGGAAAACCACACCTGAGGCTGACAAGCAGGTTTGACCCAGCCCTTGACTTTAAAACGACCATAATGCTTAAAGGAGTAGTTTGAGTCTGTCCCATAGCGTCCGTCCAGTGAGTCCACAAAATCAAACAAAAGAACACAGACACCAAACAAACAAACAAAGACACCTAAGAACAGCCTTCCGACCCCGCGGAAGAAAAACTGAGTCTGTCCCATAGTCAGTTCGTATGCCACCAAAAACACAAATAACACAGAAGTTGCAGACACGAGGACCCACTTCCCCCTCCTCGTCTGCCACAAACACATAGCGGAATCAGACGGGCGTGATCCTGACAATCTCTGATCCAACAGCTGAACCCGATCAGCGCCCTTACTAAAGGAGACCACCAGGCGTCCCCGGCATCTCCACCACCCTTGGGGCGTCCCCCAAGGCTGCAACCTGTGGTCCTCCAGGCACGTCTACCGACCACTGTTCGGCCACTCTCACGAGTTGCCGAACGGCTGCCAAACCGAAAGCGCGCGCCCAAATCCAGACCGCTTGACAAACACAAGACAAAGACAAACAATTCGGGTACCCCCCTTACCTCCAAGGTCGGCTCCGCGGATGAGGGGTGGTCGTCTGATCCCGGGCGAGCCCCCAAATGTGAGAACCCCGGAGAGGGAACCCACTCCGTCCCACCGACCGACGGCGACCCCAATCAACCGCAGGAGACGTCCCTTGATGCAAACTGCAAGAGGTTTTATTCCAGAGCGCGCTGGGGCTCAGCTCATACTCACGCAGGAGCAGAGGAGATGGGCGCCCAGTCAGGGGTTTTTCATCTTTTTATATGCAAAAATCACACATCAGGGAGGGGTGGCATGCAGGAGGGTAAGAGGAGAACAAAGAAATTCCAAAGGGGACTGGTTTGTGTCTTGATAGGGATAAGGCACTCCCGCTTGGTGTTTTTACAACCTGTTTATCTCAATGGTTGATTGAAGCCTGCCCTTTGTTGGGGCTATCTCCTGGAACCTCCTCAGGGAGGGCGTCTTTCCCTCTGCTCCTATCTCTAGTGGGGGGGGGGGAGCCTGGGGAGTTGAGCTAAAACAGGCAATTAGGCCTGGCAGCTGGGCCTGTGCATTTTGTAACATTCTTTTATTCTTTCAATAGAAGTATAACCTCCAGTTTAGTACATAATACAACAGTTTCAAAGTGATTAAGGAATTTTCTAAGAGCCATACAGAATACCAGCTTTCCTATTTCTTTAAACAATAACAAACTTTTCTAAATGCACCAAATTGCATATCCTGGTCACCAAAAAGTCCCCACATGACAATCCAAAAATAGATCAAGACAAAGTAGATTTAGTCTTAACAATGATTTGCTCCAAGTAAAGCCAAAGATTATCATTAACAAGCTGCAAATTGTGAATACCTTTTTTATTATGGAAACTCACTTTAGAGATTTATCTCTATCAATATGATTTTTGGTAGAAAAAATGGAGAGAAATGGTAAAATCAATCAAAAAACATTTGTTAAACAATAAATCTGTAGCCAGTACATCAAGTGCTAAGAGTAAAGCATCATGGAAGCTGTAATCCCTGAAAATGTTTTTCAACAAATGCAAATACCATCCCTGCTACCCGGGTGTGCGCTGCGTGAACTTAGCTCCCGGCTTCAGATGTGACGCCTGCCCGGTGGGCTTCACAGGGTCCATGGTGCAGGGTGTGGGGATCAGCTTTGCTAAGTCAAATAAACAGGTCTGCACTGATATTGATGAGTGTCTATTTATACCTAATAGAACTGGAAAAAAACATGCCAGATGAAGAGAAACAGAAAAGAAGAGAAGAGAGCACTAGACTGAAGGAGGAGGGAAATGAGCAATTTAAGAAAGGAGATTACATAGAAGCTGAACGTTCTTACAGTCAAGCCCTTCAAATGTGCCCATCCTGCTTCCAGAAAGACAGGTCTATTCTGTTTTCAAATAGAGCTGCTGCAAGGATGAAACAGGACAAGAAAGAGATGGCCATCAGTGACTGCAGCAAAGCCATTCAGCTAAACCCCAGTTACATTAGGGCCCTGCTGAGGAGAGCGGAGCTATATGAGAGCACCAACAAGCTCGATGAAGCCCTGGAAGACTACAAGTCCATTCTAGAAAAAGACCCATCAGTGCACCAAGCCAGGGAAGCTTGTATGAGATTACCTAAGCAAATTGAAGAACGAAATGAAAGACTGAAGGAAGAGATGTTAGGTAAACTAAAAGATCTTGGGAACTTGGTTCTCCGACCTTTTGGACTCTCCACAGAAAATTTCCAGATCAAACAGGATTCCTCTACTGGCTCTTACTCCATCAATTTTGTTCAAAACCCAAATAATAACAGATAACAGAGATAACAGTAACTTTTAAAGCTGGCTAGAAAATTGTGTGCTGCTTGCTGGTAGCAAGGGGAAAGGCCCTGCCAATGTTTACGTTCTAAAAGCATCTTATCTCAAAGGCCATCCAGTAGAGCCCAGTGCACCCTTCCTTGTGTTTTGTGATCAGGGTGAAATGTACGTCCTGATGTAATGAACCTAATCTGATTTCCATTTTAAGTTGGTGTCTGTGCAGCTCTTGTCCCTGGTTCTGGCTGTCCTTTGTTTTGTCCAGGAGGAGCCTGTTAAGGCTGACCTCCTAAGCCATACAAACATACAAGCCCAGACGCCAGCTCTCCTGGCCCCAGCAAACCTGCTGGTCAGAGACTGCCCAGACATGACTGATGGGGGTCCTGCCTACTGCCCTCTCCCAATCACACACACTGCCCAGGCTGCCAGGCGTGGGCTCCTGATTTCCTCTGTGGTAATAAATGCTTTCTGTGACAAAAAAAAAAAAAAAAAAAATATATATATATATATATATATATATATATATATTTTATTGCTTAAAGTATTACAAAGGGTATTACATATGTGTCCTTCCCCCCCCCCCCCCGCCCTTGACAGTCCTCCTGAAAATGTTTATATTCTACTTGGGATAGATTGTAGTTCATTTAGTAAGCAGTTATTATATACCAGAAAAAATCCATACTGTCCACCTTTGAGAAGCTCACAGACCAGTGGGACTGTAAAGCAGAGCATGTCAATATTTGCACCTGTATTCCCTACATGTTCTCTTTCTAGTTTGTAGCAAAAACATGCTCATTGTCATGCTGATTTTTTGCTCATGCTTTACACTTTTTCTGTAAAGCAGTTTCTCCCACTAATGCTCCATTATACAAAGTGCACAGAGAAGGAACCCTTGCCATTTTTAGATAAGATTCTTAGAGAACTTGAAGAATGAGTTGAGATTATTCAGGCAAAGATGGGAAACACCACATAGTGAAAAAGGAAAATACGTGAGTGAGGAAATAGTCTCACTATTGGAAACATGAATAGTGAGACATCCTGGGATGCAGTATAAACTACAAGCATAATAGGTAAGGAGAGGGACTTCAGAAGTTGGGGCTGGAGAGTTGTGGGCTTATTCATTGGTAATTATCAAGTGGCCATTGATAGACTGTTCAAGCTTTTTTTTTAAAAAAAAGTGCCCATTTGATATACAACTTATATCCATCAGCCACAAGCATCAACACCGTTATATACCTGCATGAAAACTCTGATGTGTTTCCTCTGCTTGGAGGATGCAGAAGTTTAAGAGAAAGAAATAAAAAAGAAGGTAAAGATTTTTAATCAAGTTGTCAGTGATTTTGTGTTTGATGTAAAGCCCTAGTCTTCTTCTCTCCCAAATATTTAATAACAGTTATATTGCTGCTAATGCTTTCTGAAGTTAGATCTGTTTTCTGAAGATTTTGTGAATGCAGTTTGTTTCAATGCTGATGCCAGCTCTAGAGCAAGGCGTTCTCTATGGAGGCCAAGTCATGTACTGGTTATATTAAACATTTCTTGTTGTCAGGAATGGTGCTTTCAGTGCTATAGATAGAAAGATGAATTATATCTAGGGAGACAAACACTAACAAATAATAACCACAGCATTATGATAAGTATTAAAAAATATAGTCAGATGCCAGTGTTATGGAAGCTCCAAGGGGGGGTGACTAATTTTACCTAGGGAGGCTCAAGAAGGCTTTCCAGTGGAGGTGATACTTGAGCCTCCTTTGAAACATAATTGAGAGTTCACCAAAAAGAGAGGGAATTAGGGAAGTCACTTAAGAGGAAGAAAAAATGCTTTGAGGAAACACTGTGTTTCAGAAGTTTGTGTGTAAATTTGTGTGGTTGAAGCACAGGTAAGGTGAAGTTGCTGAGCCAAGAGCCAAATCATGAAGTCATAGGGAGGAGGTATGTGTACAAAAATTGGTGGATTGAAGTCCTGGAAGAAGAAATATAATCAATGGGATCAATACATATGACTTGAACTACGCCTGAAAAATGGGTAAGATTGATCACCATAAACAGATCAAGCAAGAGAGTCTCAATCATGTCTCTCATTGTTTCTATATTCTCTTCGACACTTAAAAAGTCCTGGCAATAAGATGGGTATACATATGCAACTTGATTTATTGATTGACTAGTTGCCACAAATACCACCAGAAGCCTGTCTTGGATCTTCAGATGTCCCTCCAACTAATTAACCACTAGATTTGTAGAATAAAATGTATTCCAAATAGTCATCACTATGAAAGAATGCTAATGAATACTTCAAAGATATGGCAGGATCTTATGACATTTATATCTGTTTTTAGAAACACTCTTTCTAGAATTTTGGGGGTCACATATTTCATTTCCCTCCTTGTTTTTATCTTAAGGTATAGCAATGTATAAATCAAGCAGTAAACTGAATATATAAGGTGGGGCAAAAGTAGGCTTACAGTTATGAGTATGTGAAATATCGAGTTTAGTCTTATACTTTTATTAATTACTGTATTATTTTTCATATGAACAACTGTTAACCTTCTTTTGCCCCACAGTATGGTGTGTGTGTGTATATATATATATATACATATTATATATATATATATATATATATATATATATATATATACATATATATATATATATTTATATAATCTTTGCCTTTCGTAGCCACTAAAAACTCATTTAAAAAATATTGACTACAATACCTACTATGTAATAGGCAAAAATGATGCAGTGTTCAGATACATGAAGATTGCATGAAATAATGCTAAAAATTAGATTATAAAACAGCATGTAAAATGATTCAAGTTTCCATTTAGTTATTTATATATGTACTAGAGGCCCAGTGCATGAAATTTATGCGGGGGGTGGGGGGCGGTCCTTCAGCCCTGCTTGCACCTTCTAACAATCCGGGACCTCTGGCTCCTAACCACTTGCCTGCTGGCCTGCTTGATTGCTCCTAACCACTCTGCCTGCCTGCCTGATCATCCCTAACTGCCTCTGCCTGCCTGCCTCATTGCCCCTCATATTACACTTTTATTATAATAGATAGTTGCCTTGCTCTAAGTTGTAAGGACCTGCTTGTCATAGGGATAGAAAAGTTTTAATTTTTACTCTTGATTATGGCAATTAACTAACACAGATGGCCACCAGAAAAGGTGACTTACCAAAGGGTCTATAGCAAACGGTGCTGTTAAGTCCTCTTCCATGAAAATATGGATGTTGTGCATTGTATCTGCCTGGGGACATGAAAGAGTGAAGTTTCTGTCTGTCTTTGCAAACCTATGAGTGAATTGTGTGAGACCCCAGTCCAGTCTGGTTTGGTGCTCACAGAATAATAGAGCTTTTTTTTTTCTTTGCTCCATTGGTGGAGATTTCTTAGAAGTTGCAGGATATCTTCCTTTTAATTTTTCCTCGACACCCTGACTTATGTCTCCCACCTTTGCTTTCCCTCCATCCCCCATCTGCAACAGTAACTTTCTCCAAGCTCACTTTGCTGGAGTGTCTAGGAGATCGCGCAATGTGTCCGCCACCAGAACCACGATTCCCAGCATTCCTGGTGCTCCCCACGCTCTTGGCTTCTGCTTCCGGCCTGAGGCCCCTCCCTTCCACTCCCTCCAAGCAGCTGGGCGTGGACACTGGGCTCATGTTGCCAGGGCGACGCCACCAGCATCCCACCCAGGCCACTATGGGTGCTGCCATCTTTGTTGCGAAGTGATGGTTAATTTACATATTACTCTTTTATTAGATAGGATATTATGTAAGTATATGTGTTCACACATGCATGTTAATCCAAACTTTGGCTATATTCAAAAGAGTTTTCTTTGTGTCTATCCTGTTTTTCATGCTATGTACTATAACTCAAAATCATTTTATTAAAAATCAACAGAAAAATAAAAAATGATTGAGCATTAGTTAGCTTTTTTTATATGTTCTCCAAGTACCAGAAATAAAATAGTGCATTAAGTCTCAAAACCTCAACAGCATAATAAAAAGCAAAATTCGAATGTGAAATATTCCGGCACTCAGAGCACACAGGACATGCTTTTCTTGAAGGGATGTATATGCCAAAAACCAACTCCATGTAATGAAATTGGCCCACTTTCTCTAGGAGTTTAGAGCCAGACTTCAGGCTCCATATTGAAATGGTAGAACTTTGTCTTCAAGAGAAAATAAGTCTCCATCCTGCTGGCTGCTGTTGTTCCAGCCTCAAATCCCATTTCAGTTTATCCATTTTAATCGAAACATTTATGTTGTTTATCTTTGCCAAGAAAATTTGTAATCCTCCTCATTAAGATTTTAATAGATATTGCAAATCTTAGAGCAAGAGCCACTAAGAAGCAATTTAAAATAACAACCATGTCAGCCTTATAGGTTGTGTTGAACTGGAGGAAAGAGATAAGAACATAATATTAATAAGCAAGAAAATTTCAGCTAACTGCTTTGCCATTATTTTAATCCAAGTGTTTAATATTCTTTTTTATAAACACTATATTCATGATCTTTGATACAGTACAATGAGGTTATATGATATTAAATAATGTTAAAGAAAATATCAAATATAGTTTAAATGTTTATAGTTTTTATGTACATTGTGGTTCACATTAACAAAGTATCTAAACTATTTCCCAATAATATTAGCATCAAGCTTGTCATTTTTGTCTACAATAGCCTGAAGAAACTATGGAGGTAGATGACCAGAAGCAGAAATATAATGGAAAAGTATAATCTGCGGAAAAATAACAAGGTGTCACAGGTGGGAAAATTCCTTTCAAAGGAGAAAATGTTGGAACATTTTTGGAAGATTTTGCAAGACTGGAGAATATTTTAAATCACTAGTAAGTCATTTAATTTAATGAGGTGCCTTAATAGTAAATTTCATGTTAGTATATTCACTAATATCAAATTAACCTGAAAGGGCTAATGCTACCTGAAATGCTGCTGATAGTTTGGAGATATGTGGTTAAAAACAATAATAACATCGATCAGATGCTCAAACCTCAGAGGGAAGGTAGGGGAGTGTGGGGGTAGGGGGGAGAGATCAACCGAAGGACTTATATGCATGCATATAAGCCTAACCAATGGACACAGACACCAGGGGGGTGAGGGCATGAGTGAGGGTGGGGAGCTCGGGGAGGGCAATGGGGGGATAAGGACACATGTAATACCTTAATCAATAAAGAAAGAAAAAAAAGTAAAAAAAAAATAACATTTTACTCTTTAAACTTATATTGTTATATCTACTCCTTATATATAAATAGATTTCAACTCCTGTTTGCCACTATAGTAACCCAAAATATATCTATCTTATCTATGGATAGATTGATGGTAATGCTTATGTGAGATTAATCAGATACATTACATCAGATCTGATATAAATATTCCTCTTATCACATTTTCACTTACTTTTACCACCAGGCTCTATCCACAGACTTGTCCCTTATTTGTGGAATCTTTTTTTTTTTTTAAGATTTCTTATTGCTGTTTAG